AAAAGTCGCCCTGTGTTTGTGGGGTACCTTAGTGTTTCCCTTTTGGGCATTCTTTAGGATTTTCTTTTCACTGTACTAAAATTTTCTTTCAGTAAAGATACGTGAACGTTCAGGTACATGAATTATTTCTCTACAACTCCACTTTTGTATTCTCAACATGTACATTTGCTTTTTTCACAAGTTGCTGTTTGGCTTAATTTGAGTTGTTTTTTAGGTTGTGTGTATTTCCCAGTTACAGCTTCAGCTGATTAGATTCTTCTTAAGTTCAGAGTCTAAGATTTCAATTAGATCATTAAAAGTTAATTTGTAGGTAATGTTAACTGAACTACAATAGTTCTAAAGCTGGCACATATTCATTTCTGTTGCCCACATTCTAAGTAGGCAGGGAGCTTCTGGCCAAAGATGAGTGCGGAGATGGGCTGGAATAGCTCAACTCCCCCACCTTTGTGCAGGGACTAATCTTAAAAGTGTTTGGCTGTGATGATGGCAGGAGAGATGGAATTGTCCAGCTGGAGAATCCTTTGGATTGTGAATTTTGTTTTTCTTTAGTAACTATTATTTTAAGAAAAGGTATTTATATTCTCATGGTTCTTTTCATTATATGGTTTCCTTTGGGTTCAGGATGGCAGATTTTTTTTGTGTCATGTCTTTCATAGTCAATAGATTTGAGAAGAACCAAAATTAGGTGTGTTTGTTTCTTTATGCCAACACACTGAAGGATAATTTAGGACTATAAAATTGTATTCTTTCAAATCCAGCTAACAGGTTGATATACCTGTGTGATTTTCTTGAGTAGTTGTATTGATTTCAGTGAGGGGAAATGAAGGAACTATACAAATATAAACTGCTTTCAGATGAAGAAGAAAGAAGAGGTGAAAAATGCTGAAAATTCTTAGTTGCTGTAACTTTTGGTGTAAGAGTATATTAAAAACAAAGAACATGTTAAAATTGGGCATTGTTTTTATAGGTTAATGTTGTTGTAATTGAATAAGTTTATAAAATAGCACTGTTTAAAGGCAAATTTTAATTTCACTTTCTTTTTAAGAAAAAAGCACTCTTCATATCAAATCATAGATTTCTACTAAAAATAGTTTTTAAATGTGTGTTATTGCAATGAAAGAATATAATTATATGTGTGCTATGTGAACAGTCATGTTCACAATCTAGAAAGTGAATTAGATTGTACCTTTGTCTCATTGATGAAACAAATCTGTTACAGCCTCAGAGTAAGGTCCTAGAGAAATCAAGACAGTGAGGTCAAAGAAATTCATGTACTTCAGCAAATAAAATCAGTCTGGGTTAGCCTTCATAATATGTTGGTAAAATATAGCCTCCTTATTTGAAACAGAATCTATTAATTTGGGATTTATTTGAGCATCTTCACACACTGATGAGTGTAAATCTAGAAAATTAAATTGAACGTGCAGTGTGAAATATATAAGTGAGTATAAGCTGCAGAACATGGTACAACCAATGACATTTTTTCTTAAGGTAGCATAGGACATGTAGGTAAACATACTTAGTTAGATTTCCTTATTTATGTTAAGTTGTAAGAATAGCAAGAAAGTCTCTAAGTGTAAATGAGTTTGGATGGAAGTTGGGGTCACTTAAACAGTTACCTGCTTTTGAATAAGAATGTATGATGGCAGGTAAGGGAAGAAAAAGCCATTTTTAAAAACATGGGTATATTAATATTTGTTTTCTCTGCTACAATTCCAAGATAGAATAAATTTTAGTTTGTTTCTGCAGAGCTTGTGTCTCATTCAGTTTACATTCAATGTGCCACTGTAATGTCTCCAGACTCTGCCTACCTTGTTGTGTCCTATTGAAATCTGATTTGAAATTGGGGTGTATGATCTTGCCTTTGATGATAAACACATGGTACTTGAAATGTTTCTCTAATTATTCTGTCACTCCTTGAAACTGGCTTTATTTTCTTTTAATATTTCGTTATTGGAATATTTCTTTCTGTATATTTAAAACCCAAAGAAGAGAAAAGGAATTGAATCAACATCATTCCATAGGAAACAACAGGTAATCTAAATAATGAACTGTCCTACACAGCTTGCTTACAATATGCAGTCTGCTTATACTCAGCCGTAAGCCACAAGACTATATTTGTCCTGTAAACATCACTTTAGTGTCATGCAAAGAGAAGCATAAGTAGCTGGATTTGATAGTACATTTTCTTTTTTTTATTTGAAAAAAAAAAAAATCCTCCTGCTGTAAGAATTCTGGTTGTGAACTCGTTTTGTTACTGGAATAGTTATGGAGCTGTGTGTCAAACTTCAGGAGGAAAGTAGTTTTAAACTATCGGAAGTGTATAATGAAGTCTGAAGTTTTGTTCAGAAGGATATACATCAACAGTTTCAAAAGTACAGAGAATTTTGGTTTATCTGTATGCATTGCACCTTGCTGAGGGGACCTCAGTTGGTGAGTCCTAGGTTTGGAGTATTAGCCTTCAAACTAATGTTTCCCCAAACTTTTAAATTATGCTAGGTAAGATACTCCAGGATTATAAAAAGCTAGAGCTTTTAGAATGTATTGCATTTTTAAAAATCTTCAAATTTGTGATAAAATGCTGCCTTCTCTTGATAATTTTATCCTGTATTTTCAGGCTTCCAAATTTTGTGATTTGCTCTTGTGCACCTGTGTTCTGGTAAGTTCACAATTTGAGGCAAATCCATGTATAGCAAGATTTTAAGAAAAGAGATGGGAAAGTCTGGAAGCAAGCATGCTGTCCTATCCAGTCAATTTTACTTCTTAATGAAAGTGTGAAGTAATGTCTTCTAAAAATTTTTGTGTTGTCCTATCCAGTCAATTTTACTTCTTAATGAAAGTGTGAAGTAATGTCTTCTAAAAATTTTTGTGTTTAGATTGCAGATATTTATTTTGCGTAAACTGATAATGAGTCAAAACTAGTTATCTAAGAGATGTAGTCTACTTAACACTTTCTATTTACATCCTAAAAAAAAAGGCCACATTAGCAGTAACCTTATTGGCAGTATTGTCGAAGTAGCGATTAAAATGATTCACTTTCTTAACTCTTAGTGTGTTTGAATAGCTCTTAGTATTTGAAGCAAGTTGTAGAGATTTCTTTAGAAGGGAAGGACTTAATCCATTGCAAACTTAGTAAATATTCTTGTTAACTCTAGTTCCTTATAAACAGAAGGTTCTAAATTTTAGGCTAGGGCTCACCTGCCTTATGATGACAGAAATTCCTGTCTGAATAAAATTGAAATGAGAACACTAATGTCATCAATGGTTCTGAGTTAACCTTTTTCCAAGCATTTTGGAGAGAGGATGGTAGTTAATTATTAGAAATACACACACATGCACACACGTATGTGTGTGTGTGAGTGTTATCTATGTATATATCACAAAACATGCTGAGTTGGATGGGATCATCTTGTCAAACTCCTGGCCCTGCACAGCACCATGCCTAGATAGTCACACCATTTTCCCAAGAGCATTTTCCAAATGCTTCTTGAGCTCTGTCTTTGGTGCTGTGACCTGGGGAGCCTGTTCCAGCATCCACCCATCCTCTGGATGAAGAACCTTTGCCCAATATCCAAACTCAACCTCCACTGACACAACTTCAGGCCACTCCCTCATGTCCTGTCACTGATCACCACAGAGAAGAGATCAGTGCCTGCCCCTCCTCTTCCCCTCATGAGGAAGTTGTGACTGCAGTGAGGTCTCCCTCAGTCTCCTCTGGGCTGAACGAACAGACCAAGTGACCTCAGCTGTTCCTCATATGGCTGCTCCTCAAGGCCCTTCACCATCCTTGTTGCTGTGCTCTGGACACTTTCTTAGAGCTTAATGTCTTTTAAACGTTGTGTCACCCAAAATTGCCCCCAGCACTGGAGCTGAGGCTGCCCCAGCTCAGAGCAGAGCAGGACAATCCCCTCCCTTGCCCAGCTGGCTGTGCTGTGCCTGATGCCCCCCCGGACAGGGCTGCCCCTCCTGGCTGCCAGGGCACTGCTGGCTCGTGTTCAGCTTTCCATTAAGCAGCATACACAGGGCCCTTTCTGGGGCTCTTCTCTCCAGCATCTCCTTCCCCAGCCTGTCCATACATCCAGGGTTAGCTCTCCCAGGTGCAGAATCTGGCACTTTCCCTTGTTGAACTTCATATGGTTGGTGATTTCCCAGCCCTCTAATTTGCTGAGGTCTCTTTTTAGGGCCTCCCTCTCTTCAAGAGACTCCCTAAATAGTTTCTTCCAATTTTGTGTCCTCTGTGAACTTGCTTTATATCCCTTCCAGTTCTGTTTCCAAGCCATTTATGAAGATTTTGAAGAGCACAGGGCTGAGAATGGAGCCCTCTGGAACACCCCTAGTGACAGGTCCCCAGTCTGATGTCACCTCATTCACTGTAACCCTTTGTTCACTGTAACCCTTTGTGCCTGACCTGTGAGCCAGTTGCTCACCCATCCCATGATGTGTTCATCCAGCTGTGTGCTGGACATTTTGTCCAGAAGGATCCTGTGAGAGAGAGTATCAAAAGCTAAACTGAGATAAAAAATATTACAGTAACTGGCTTCCCTTGATCAGCTAGGTGTGATCATAAAAGGAAATCAGGTTTGATAAGCAGGACTTTCCTCTCATGAAGCTGTGCTGGCTGTGACCAATGACTGCATTGTCCTCCAGGTGTTTCTGAATACCTTCAGTATCCATAACTTACCAGGCACTGAAGTGAGACTGACAGACCTATCATTAGCAGTTTATAACACACAATGGCTAATGCATAGCTTTCACTCTGATATTAGCAAAATTTTAAAATATCTCTCCAGTTTTTAACTCAAAGTTAGTTTGTGCATGTTAAATTAACTTTTTTTCCATAAAGGCAACAAAATTTCTAATTTCATTTAGCAGTGTCAGTAGTTGGTGTATTTAGGGTGACTGAGCATTCTTGGCAGTTACTTGGTCTGCAATTCAGTTTGCAGTTTCACAATACAGCTAACCTGTTCAAGTGGGTAGGAAAAACAAAGAAACAGCTAAAGGTGATTCCAGCACCTTTCAAATGCCAAAACTCTAATTTGTCTCCCTCAGTGCTGAGCTGATTCTGGTCTTCATATTTCCCTTTAGTTTTAGTTGTCGTGAGTTTTACCTCCTTGAATTGAGCAATGTGTTCCAGTGCCTCACTGCTCGCATAGTGAAGGATTTCTCCCTAAGGCCTAATCTAACTCTGCCCCCTTTCAGTTTAAAGCTATTCCCCCTTGTCCTGTCAGTACAAATCCTAGTAAAAAGTGACTGCATTTCTCTTATAGGCCCCCTTTAGGTAGTGGAAGGAGCTGTAAAGTCTCTCTGGAGCCTTCTCTTTTCCAGTCTGAACATTCCCAACATTCTGTGTGTCCTGGGAGAGGTGCTCCAGCCCCTTAATTATCTTCATGGCAGGTCATATTCTTCTAATGTTGGAAGAAGCTGGATGCAGTACTCCAGGAGGGATCTCATCAGAGTGGAGTAGAGGGGGAGAATCATCACCTCCGTTTACTGGCTGGCCACTCTGCTTCTGAGGCATACTAGGAGTTGTTTCTTTAATCACAATAAAATCCTGTATCACTTGACAGAGCTTTTCTGGAAGATGCTTCAAAGCCACAGAAGAATTTCTGGAATTATTTGAGCCGGTTTCAGAAATCTGTATTTTGTGTTCCTGGTACTAGGTGTTGTTAGCACAGGATTTACAGACACCTGCAGAGAATTGCAAATGTAAAATGAGTAAATAGTAAATGAAATTAAATGCTCTTTTTGTGAGATACAAATGGAACAGTAGAGAAGCACTCCTGATTTTTACTGTTGCTTTGTTGAGTCATATGTTGTTTAACTCTTGCAAAATTAAAGATAAAAATATCTTTATAACCTGTAAGGTTTTTTTTTTTAATAAGGGGCTAGTAAGAGCCTGCATAGGATTGAGTGAGTATCTAGCCATGCTAGCAGTCTGACTTCTGATACTGATGTGCTTATTAAATATTCATTAAAAAGTTCTACAGTTTTTAATGAAATAATTGAACAATAATCTCCTGTTGAGGCAGTCTTTGCTCTACCCTAACTTTGGTTCTTACAGTGGTAGAATTTCCATTCATTGTGGCTGTGGCTTATAGTAGAAGTAATTAATTAAATCTTTGTAGCTTTTTTTCCCTTTACATTCAGTTTATGACTCAATATAAAATCCAGTTTATTTTGTTGCTTTTCCTTGACATTAGTGGCTATTACGTTTTCTGCATTTTTCACATGATTTCTAAAATAATTAATACATTAATCTTCTAATGTTTTACCAGAGTTTCTTGTAACATTGGCTCAGAATGCCTTTGATTAGACAAGTGTTTATATCTTGTATAAATAAACAGTCTTAGTATGTCGTCATTTCTTCTCATGTGGTCATGTAAAGTCCATGCAGATTTTTCTTTCTCCTAAGATATTAACCTAAAATCTTTTGGAAATTTCCATTTTCTTTACTAATATTTCCTTATTGAAAGAAATGAAGAAATTTCTGGACTGGCTTGTAATGGGAGTTATTACGAGACCTGTTAAATATATGTATTTGAATTGTGCTTTTAAGTTTTGGCATTTGATCATTTTAGAGTGTGAAATTACTTCATGGAATTACTATCCATATTGAAAACTAGAATAGAAGGTCTATTTTTTAACCTCGACTTCCTGCTTTGTATTCAGCCCATGCACTTTGTGCTCATTGATATAAACAGCCACAAAAGAAAGGGTGGACTGCATTAAATCAGGATGTGATGCATCCTGAACTTACTGTATATGAACCCACAACAATCAGTATTTCTAAGAAGAAACAGAATAGGTGGTGGTGCTGAGAATTTCTGTGCCATATAGGCTTTATAAACTATGCAGCAATGAAGACAATTTAATATGCAAAGATACAAGCATATTTAAATAATGTTCCTTTGAAAGACAAGAGTCCATTGCATATACATACAAAGAGTCACTAGAAGTTAAGTGAGCATATCTTCGTATCATGTGTTGAAATTTTGTAAGGTCCCTGTGATGATGATATGCCTCACACTGTGAGCAGTTAAAAGAAACTGGTTCTTTTATAATGAGATGGGAATTGATTCCTTAATATTGGTTACAAATTATGATGATTTTTAAAACAATCTGTCAATATTCTGCTCACTTTGAATATTCTGACATATGTTCAGTAGCATTGTAAGGAATGTGAATTTCAAAGCCTCCAATTTTTAAGAAATGAATTTAGGAAGTACCTTTAAATGATGCAAACATTTGAAGTTCCAACCTGTCTTTCAATTTTTTCCTCTAGGATTTCCCTTTTATTGAATGAGAAAACATAATTCTAATATTCCTTTTTTGGTTTTGGGTTTCTTTTCTTTTTCCCTTTTAATGAAATTAATATAGTTGAAACTGGAGTAAGACAGGTGCCAAACCTTTTTCTTAATTCCATCTCAGCAGCCTGGGTGGTTGGAGTACAGGAACTTGACCCCTTTTTGTTGCTGTCTTGTGTGTTTCTCCCTTGTGAAAGCCAATACAATCTGCAAAGCCAGCATAGATAAAGAGCCCTGGAGGGTTGTGGTATAGTAGCAAGACTGTTTTGTGACCATGTTCTGAAGGCAGACCGCAGGTGACAGTATTATTTACTTTTGTTGCTTGGGGTCCAAAGAGAGAATAAATTGCTATTGATTTTTGAGACATTACAGTGAGGTGTCTGAATGCCTGCAGAATCACTGGGTGGTAGGACAGTCAGAGTCTGCATGGAGACTGCTTTGGAAAGCCTTTTTTCGCCTGTTGTTTTCGTTTGTGGGTTTTTTTTTTTTTTCCTTAATTTTCAGAACCAGCTGCTAGAAAATTTTGTTGTTTATTACAAATATATTTTATCTCTCCAAAGAATAGAATTCAACAGCCATTTTATAACAATTTGAAATAGATGAATGGAGTTTGGAATACAGCCATCTGTGTACATTACTGTTAAGAAGAGAATGCTGAGCATTGCATTAAATTAACCACTTCATTAAAGACATCTCTTTCAGAGGTATAACAATTTATAAGAAGAAAATCAACTGTATGGAAGTGGAAATGATATACAGCTAACAGCTTTCCCCACCCTCTCATCACAAAGCTCATTTTTGCGGACTATTCAGGTTTGACATAATTAGTCTTCAGAGGTACTTTGCCAATTGGGGGAAAAAGGAACCCGCTACTTTAATGTTTGTTACTTTAAGATCTTATAGCAATGCTACATCGTAGTGACACCTGCTGGGAGAGATCGGAAGGAAACAGCTGAAACTATGGCTGCTGCCTGTCAGCTCTTTTCCCGGAGAGCAGAGCGTGTTCCCGGGGTGGCAGTCCGGGATGACGCGCGGTTTGTAGCTCCCCTGGAGGGCATCTGCTGTCACTCCTCTCCGAGGAGCCTGACTCCCCTGCCATATTCACTGAGCCTCACAAACTCACGCGGATGTCATTGGGCGTTTGGATCTCCCAGCTGGCACTTAAATGCACAGCACCAATGAGCCTAGGTGGGTGTGTAATGATGGAGGGTATTCAGAATGGTGAATCCCAGGAATTAACCTGCCTACACTAAGCGGGGCACAAAACAAGATTTCACTCTTCTTTAGTTGATCAACATTTGTGTGTTTGCTGTTCTGCAATGATAATTTATGACTGCATTCATACCTATCTGGCTGTTTACCGTGGGAAGAGGAATTTCCTGTGTGAAGAAACTTTTCAGGACCAGCTTCCAAGTATAAACAAACAGAAGCTGATTGATTCTAAGCTACAGCTTCCTCCCACCCCAAAGCTGAACAGAGTGAAATTTCCAAGACTTTTACTAATTGTAACTTTCAGTTTTCAAATTATGTGGAGAACTGTGAAACTAGCAAACATTTTTTGACAAAAGCAGTGGAAAGAGCAGAGGGATCATGTACTTGTTCCTCTGCTACTATAGCTTCATTTTTGCTTGCATCTGGTATAGTTCTCTGATTTATAGCTCTTGGTGTATTTGTCTTGAGATTTGCCTCAAAACAAGCTGGATACTTGAGCCTGAGAAATAACTATCTGATTTCTGTCCAGGATACTGCCTCTCAGAGACTTCTTGAAGATTTATGTAAAGCAGTTCCCTGAACAAGAGTGCAAGGACTTTGTCTGTTCTTAAAGCTATAGAACCCTTTTTTGTTTCTTTTCAAATTCTCTGCAATTGTTTTTCCATTCAATTAAGAAAGTTCTCAGAAGTGACACCAAAACTCAAAGGTTTTCAAAGAGTTCCCCCATAATCTCCCCTAAGAATCGTCTCTTCTCCTTGCTCTGAGGGCTCTGTCCTGATACAGGATGATAGGTCTGTGTCAAGTTGTATTTCCATTGATAACAGCAGTGCTGGAAATTTTCTTCCTATTTATAGGTATATATATTATCCATCCATAAAAAATGTATGAAGCTCAAGATTTAGTTAATTGCCATAGTCAAAGAAAATACACCTTCTGGCTTCTGAGCAGTAGAGCTCTGTAAAAGATGAAAGACCCTGAAATTACCTCCCTTTATCTTTTCTAAGGAAGGGCTACTTGTATTTCCCAGACTGACAGACATTAAGCCAGCAGCCTCTCCATAACAGTGAAGCCATGTAACAATGAGGCTGTGCCAGCAAAGATCAATAACTGCCACTTAGTTGAAGGGTAACAGTCTGTTCCTACCTGAACCAGTAGTTTGCCCATGACAAATAATCCTTGAAGATAATCAGATCACACCACTTGATTTAATTCACTTTCTACAGCAGAAGTATTTGTTCAATGGACCACAAACCCCTCTGGTTTAGCATGATTTCATATATATTTGCTCATTTGTCTTATTCCACACTATTAAATTTTGTTTTTACTTCTTATATCTAAAAGGTCTTGCTATATAGCATTAAAAATAAGCTTTTCTTTAAAACATTCCCTACTTCAGCTCCCTATAGCAAGTCCCTAGCCTAGTAAGTGCCAGCTTCCAGAGAAATTAAACTTAAAGGAAGTCCTGATAGTGTCATTTAATAACATCTGATGAGAGACTGGTGATGGTCTGCTCCATTTCTGCTGCTCCTGCCAGACTCTTCCATCCAATAAATCTTTTTACAGTTAACTTTCTGTGAAAGCTACTGGGCTGTCTTGCCCTGGGTTTTCTTGAGAGCTAAGAGAAAGTTCAAAAGTGAATTTGTGGGAGCCAGGCCATCCTGAATTCCTAACACTGATGTTCTCTTGCTGTTCTTAGATTCTTCATTGTTGGATAATGAACTTCTAATCTTGTGTAATGGTGCTTGATCTTTACACTTGTACTTATTTATCTAAGAAAATTTTACTTTGTAATATTTAACCTGTGAAACAGCACAATGAATTTTATATGTCTTTCATTAAGTATACCATTATCGTTGTTTGGCTGTGAAGGTTATTGTCCTTTACAACACAGCACCTGGTATGAAATGAGTTAATGCTGGTAGTCTGCAGAGAAACTGTTTTTATGAGAAAAATAAAATTACTTTGAAAAAAAGTACTTTAATTGAAAACCCATTTAAGGGGTAAAAATATATTATTGATTGTGATCAAAATGTCCCAGATGCTGATGAATTCATCAATTTCTGGTTTAGATGTGTTATAAATCTTTTAGTGGAGGCAGGTGAATGTGAATGAGGTAAGTATTTTCAAAGTATGGTGGCACGTTACTTTTTATGTGTAAGTTTTTTGTTCTTTTCAATGTACCTGTGAATGGAAACAGCTTTTTAAGGGCTGCACTAGAAAAATAACACACAATGAAATGTTCATTATAAATCAAGCTGAAATCAAACTGGTTTACACCAATAAAAAGTATGTTTAAAAAATCATGACAAATTCTTTCAAATATTGCTGAAAAATTATTTCAGTAGTTACTCTGCTAGCGAAAAAACGGTGTTGTAAACAAGTGTAAACGATTAAGCTTTCAAGTACAGTGAGAAATTAGACCAGTATTTTTTATAGTAGTATAAGTGGCAACATCTTTCATTTAAGTTTTCAGATCAAGATTCATAAAACAGTATTTAAAGCATTCATAAAGCTACATTAATTTGAAGATTATCTATGATGAATCTGTATTATAGAATAATATTGCTTTTTGTGGCAATAATACAATCTTAAGAATGGAAAATACTCACCAATAATTGTATTTTCCAAGATGTACAGCTCCTTACTGTCCATAGGAAAGTCTACATGGAGTAGGGAAGTCATAAATTAGATAAATTTTTGAAGGTATCTTATCTCTTCCTAAGTTCCAGGAATAATTAAGCTTCTTAGTCAGGGCCTGAGCACATCTGATTCACTGAATTAGCATCAGTTTCAATTCAAAACACATGTGTGACAGGAACCTTTCACACAGACTGTGTGGGTGGTGAGAGAGCACAAACAGAGCCACAGATAGTGTTGGAAAGTACATTCTGTGCTTGCATAAATGTATTCCAAACTAGGATAAGGAAGCTGGCCATCCTACAGCTGAAACTGGGATGTTTTGTGCTGGACTCATGAGGTGTTAGATACGGCTTCTTTTAAGTGCTAAGGCTGGTGCAAATTGTAGGCTCTGATCCCTCTATGCACACAGAGACTCAGTCACTGTGTTGAGACTGGAAGAACCCTCTCTCTGGTCCCCTTTCCAGCTTAGAGCTTTTTCCTAGAAAGAAGTTGTGGTTTCAGGGTGACCATGGCCTGGAAATCAGCAGGCAGGTGAGTGCTCTGGTGACTAGACCATTGTATAAAAGGAGCACTCTTAAGTTTCTTCTAACTGGAATAAAATAAGTACCAGTGTGCTGGTAGCACAGTTTTGCATAGTCCTTTTTAAACTGAGCTGTGAGGGTTGTACCTTCTTGAAGAAAGGGTGATGCTTCCTGTGGTGCAATTTGTGATGGAAGGTACCTTCTTGCATTATTGCTGCTTCTTACCCCCATGGTGGTCTGTACTCTGTCTAAAAGGGTTTACAGGTGTCCTACATAAACTGTACTGAGACTCTGATAGTGCCTTTTTGGTTTTTTTTTATTAGCTCAGTTCCTCATGTCCTAACCAAAAGACAATCTTCTGCTGCAATGTGGGGAGAGCAGCAATTCCATAAATATATATGGTATATGAACCAGAGTGTTTGTAGCATGAAGCTACAGACAGTTTTTTATAATGAGACCCTATATTTATAACTTGTTTGCCTCACTGAAAATACTACGCATGCTGTTTTGCTTTCCAGAAAACAGATATTTTGTATACTTGAGTAAATACTAACTGAAGGATATTACAAATAGTGGTCTTTTTCTTTGGTTTATTGTTTAATGAAGTGCTTGACTGTCCAGAGGAGGTGGTGTGCATTCTTTACTGCCAGGATATAAAAAGGGAAATAGAAACAAATAAAGTTTTTTTAATTTTTTTTTTTTTCTTTTGGCAAATGGAACCTTCTCCCCCACCTCTGCTCCAATTACCATGACCTTTGTAAAGGTATTTAATTGCTGTCCAATTCTTAGAACAATAAACTGTAAAAATAAGATTGCAGGGAAAAAGAAATCATGTTTTCTGTGGAACTCCTGAACATGCAAATTCGGTCCTAGTCTTCTAATTCCTGTAGCAAATTCATCTGCATGTGGCTGTCCACATCAGTCTGCTAATTGTGCTAGAGATAGTCATGAATATCACAGAGCTGATAAGGACATACTAAATGTATTTGACTACTGAAGCTTAAATTAGAAATGAAGTTGAATTGGGAGAATAATAATAATAACAACAATATTAAAAAATTCCTGTATATAATTGGAAAAAACCCCACAGATTTTGGAAAACAGGATGCGTTTTAGTAAAAGTCAGAATGCCATTATCAGATAAGTGGCTTCAAAGATACATGTGTTTACAGGTTTATCTGTCAGCAGTGTCAGAGGTACTGTTCAGACTTTACTTTCACAATAAGACCAGCTATCTTCTATGTAACATCAGCTAGCATTTTCAGAAAGTTGTATTATCTTCCTTTTGCTTCAATGCCTTAAGAGGGATGAAAAACGTAATAATGTTTTGGATTGTCTTGTTTGTTTTTCTTTTTGGTGTGAGGAGGGAGATTTTGCTGGGGGGGTTGGTTTGGTTTCTGTTTTGGGTTTGGGGTTTATTTTGTGACTATCAAAATGCTCAAAAAGTATTTTTTGAGTATTATGATCCTGGCTAAAAGAAGAACTACTATACCTGATTTTGGGGTCTTGATAAATATTTTAAATCTAACTTGTAATATTCTTCAATTTTTCAAGCTGGTTTCAAAAGTAACCAGACTTTTTGGGTTTGGGTTGCAATCTATTGAAAGGATAAGGAATTGCATCGATTATAATCACAGGCAGCACAAAGGTCACATGAGAGGTGTTGGGAGCTTCATCCAGATTTGTTCAGGGACTAGCAAAACAAAATTCTGAGGTTATAAAGCAGCAAAGGTGTGATTTAGTAGAGCTTAAAATCAGGTGTTTTACTAACACAAAAGTAACAACTCTTAGTCATTATTGACTTGCATTGTGTTTGTAGCAGTGACCCAGAGGTGAGAGGCTCCACATCTCATTTCCAACCCTCTGAGCTATGTAGCCCTCCATAATTTAATTTGATGCAAAGCAATTATCAGGCAATTGATTTTTATTGATTGTGCTTAGGACAGAAACATTTCTGTTGCAGCAGACAAGAACTTCTGGGATTGCCATCCACCTGAATTCACAGTAAGCAGATATATATTTAAAGCTATGTTACTGAAGCTCTTAATGACCTTAGATGTCAGCAGGTAGAATGTTTCTTTCTTTACTTTTTCTGCCAGTGCATACTCTCTGATCATTCTTAGGTTCTTTGTAATTTTCTTGTCCTTTATTTTTGCTTTCTTTTGTTTTGCATGGATGCTTGCTTGTTGACTTTCTTCCCAAGCCCTCTAATTTTTGAATATTCTCTAGTATCTCTTTCCCCCTTCCTCATTTCAATATTTTCCATTGCCAGGTCTTCCTCTTACATGTGTTTTCTTTCTCTCCTTACTAATTTCTACCATATTTGATGACCCTGTAATATTGTCTGTGGATCCCCTTTCTCTAATCTTTTGTCTTGTGATTCTCAGGTTCTCTTGCTACTTCTGTGGAGATTTGCTTCTTTGCTTTAGCAGTTGCTGTCTCAGCCATTTCTCATTTCACCTCCTTTGTACACCTGAATTGCACCTGTAGACCTCTCTTCAGAAACCTACAGCACTAAGTATGCGTTAGTGCTGTAATGTGGTCCATGTGTGTAGTTGCTCATAAAGTGTGGATGCCTCACTAACAGGCACTGAATTGAGACATGCAGATTGTTTCAGATGTCAAGTACTTCAATTTATAGCACAGTTACTTATTTTTTCTAACTTAATAAGAATGAGAATGTATACCACATAATTTAATGCTGGGATATGATTTCTGACATATCAGTCAGAGTCTCAGTATAATGTGCAGAAAGTAATGCCGCACAGATTTAAGAGTATAAATATAGTGGAGGAAAAAAAGAGATTTTAAGAACTATCCCAAACAGTTAGAACTATATTTGCAAAATACTAATTTATTAGGTTATTGTAAATACCAATGGATCTTTCTGGACTGTAGTCACTGTGCATTGATAGATGATTTTAACTCCCAATTTTAACATAAATTCCTTCATGATCACATTATTCTACTTAGAAGTAGTTTAATTGCATAACAAAAAAAGTAACTGAAAATGAATCATAACTTGTTAAAACTGAAAGAAAATGCTGAAAATGTTTTTATATGAGGACTTTCAATAGAAGTTTTATTCTGAGTAATTGTCTTGGTCTATAGGTCTTTGACTACCCTGTCAGTGAAATTGGTTTCACTGTTGCTCTCTGATAAAGGTGACCTGGAAATTCAGGTCATGGGTTTCAGTATGGGCAGTAGAAGACAACTTTTACAGGCTAGTTGTGGGAATTGATAAAGCTTTTGGAAGAGCTTTGGGAAATCTTTCCACTGAAGCCTTATTTCTTGATGCAGTGACTTAGGAGACAGAACATTTTGCAGCTGATCTTTGTAGCTTGTTAATTCCTTGCAGTTCAAGGCAGATTGTTAAGCATGGCTAAAATGTGCACGAAGAAGATAGGACTGAGTAAGTTTCATTCTGCCACCACAGTTTTTGGCAAACTGATATTTGAGCATTGTTGTAGTTGCCCTTTTAGATGTGATATTAATACTTTTAAAGCCATTTTTAATCTGTTTGGGTTTTTTTTTCTTTTTTAATGATTCTGGCATGTTGCAATACACTGAAAACATACTGTCTGTTGCTCATTTTGCCTTTATATTTACAAGTGGAAATAACTCATATGATAAAAATGCAAGAAATGATAGCACCAATGGAAATCTGTACTATTCTTCTATGTTACTGTAGTCATTTTCTTTGATAAGTCAATCAAGCTTCTTTACTAAATTACTAGCAACTACTTTAAATCCTTTCAGAGTGATTTAGAGACGTGTCCTCTAATTTTCAGAATTTCATAAAGGTTTTTGTATCCATAGTCTGGAGTTTTGGTATGAGAGGAGAAAATACTTGCTGAGTATAACACCACCCACATTTTCCAGTATCCTGCATCTACTTAAGTTTGATAGAGTCTTCAGAAGTCAGTGAAGACTTTGAGGGCACTCTTCCCAATGTCCTATTCTAGTCTCCATTTTTGGGTCTTAATCCACTATAGTTGTGTTATCAGTCCTGTTTCCTTTGCCCTTTCCAAGAAAGTTTTCTTATTTCAAGACAGGCTGCAGCGGCACATCATTTTGGAAGGACTTATGAACAAGACAGATGTTCAGGGATAAATTATTCCTCAGTCTTTATCTGTGGAGAAGCAAAGAAGAAATGGAAGGAAATCAAATTTGGGAGAAATTTGTAGAAGTATAGAAACTTCAAATGTCACATATTGTTTACCTGAGGAAGCCCTTGAGCTTATGAGGGGAATTTCTGTGCAGATGCCCTGGAAGAATATGCCACAGGCTTCAGGAAAGCCTGACTGCTTAGGAGGAAACAAAAAAGCTTCTCCATGGTGCTATGCAACACCAGGTAAATTTACCTTGTTTCCTATAGGTAGGTGCCCCTTGCCTTGCCCCTGTGCCACCTCTGTGCCCCTAGACTATTGGTTCCTGACCCCATACTTAACCTGAGACACTGCAGAAAATCCTGGTCTTTTGTCACTGGAACCCTTTGGTGGGATTTTGGATTAAGCCCCACTGGAAATCTATACAGAGGACCTTTCCTGTCTTTTTTTGCTGACCTATCTGTGGTGTGTGTAAGTTTGGATACAGTGACTGTCTGTGCC